AAGAGGGGAAGGTAGAAGCATATGGCTCACGACAGTTGAAAACACATGAGAAGAACTACCCTACTCATGACCTAGAGTTAGCAGCGATGATCTTTGCCTTAAAGATTTGGAGGCATTATCTGTATGGTGAGAATTTTGAAGCGTTTTTTGATCACAAGAGTTTGAAATATCTGTTTACATAGAAAGACTTGAATCTGAGGCAGAGGAAGTAGATGAAGTTCATAGAGGATTATGACTTTGAGTTATATTATCATCTGAGGAAGGCTAATGTTGTGGCTGATGCATTGAGTAGGAAATCTATTAGCAGTGTAGCTTATATTGTCATTCGAGAATGGGAAATGTTGGGTGCTATTGGTGAGTTTGACTTGCATCTTGATGAGTTCGTTGAGTCGGCGACCTTATTTTCAGTAGTTGCACAACTTACACTTGTGAACCGAGTGATAGAAACACAGAGGAGTGACCTTGAGGTGGAATCCCTCTAAGAGAAGATTTCCAGTGGGAAGGTAGGCAGAGGCTTGAACGTGTACTCTAACTTGAGTGTTAAATACCTTGACCGTCGTTTCATGCCCGAGTCTTGTTAAGAGGAAGTACTCCGAGAGTTTCATCATTCACGCCGTGCGGTGCATCTGGGAGGCACAAAGATGTATCACAACCTTAGCCGCCAGTTTTGGTAGAGGGGGATAAAAAAAGATGTGGCTGTATTTGTGTTGAGGTGCCTTACTTGTCAATAAGTGAAGACCAAACATCAGAAGCCCGTGGGTTTGTTGCAACCCTTGCCTATAGCCGAGTGGAAGTGAAAGCATGTCACGATGAATTTTGTTGTGGGCCTTCCGAGGACTCAATGGGGGTAGTGATGTAACTTTGGTGGTAATTAACCGGTTGACCAAGTCGCCGCACTTTATACCTATGCGTGTGAGTGACTCGGTAGATCATCTTGCAGACCTCTATATTAGGAACAGAGTGAGGTTGTACGGGGTCCCTGTGACGATTGTCTCGGATAAAGATCCGAGTTTCATGGCTCGGTTATGGCAGAGCCTACAGAGTGCCTTGGGTATGAGATTGACATTTAGTACTGCATATCATCCTTAGATTGACAGGCAGTCCGAGCGTACTATTCAGATCCTTAAGGATATGCTTTGGGATTGTGTTCTTGACCTTAAGGGGTTGTGGGAGAGACACTTGCCCTTAGTGGAGTTTGCATATAACAATAGTTTCCAATTGAGTATTGGCATGGCACCGTTTGAGGCCTTGAATGATTGACCGTGTAGATCCCCTGTGTATTGGGCCGAGATGGGTGATGTACCTATGTTGGGCCTAGAGTTAGTCTGAAAAACAACGGAGAAAGTTGCACTGTAGGAGAAGACCCTTGTCTTTTGAGGTGGGAGACCATGTCTTCTTGAAGATATCACATAGGAGGGGTTTAATGAGGTTTGGAAAGAATGGAAAGTTGTCCTTTGATTCATTGGGCCTTTTGAGATCCTTGAGCAGATTAGAGAGGTAGCTTATCGTTTGGTCTTGCTGTCACAACTTTCTGGGGTTTATGATGTGATTCATATTAATATGCTTCGGAAGTATGAGCTGGATCTATTGTATGTGTTGGATTGGACCGACTTAGAGGTAGATGAGGATGCCTCGTATGAGGAGAGACTAGTGAGAATCTTGGAGAGTCGAGACCAAGTCTTGCAAGGCAAGACAATTCCGTTGGCTAAAGTACTGTGGAAGCATCACAGGGTTGAGGAAGCAACTTGGGAATATGAGTTGGAGGTCCGTGAGAAGTACCCGGACTTATTTGTTGATGCTTGATCATGTATTGAAATTTTGTAATGTTAATGAAATATGAAAACATTATATATGTTTTAAGAATATGAACACATTGTATATGTTGTATATGTTTTAGAAACACAGATTTAAAGTAAACATTGTATATGTTTTGAAAAAATATGAATTGCGCTTTCAATGTTGAAACTTATGTATTGAGTTGATGAGAATGGGTGACCAGAGAACGGGTCATGGTGATGGAATTGATTAATTATCTTTATTGTGATCGATTTAAACATAGTTTCAAAACTTGATTTGAAATTTCAGGGACGAAATTCCTTAAGGAGAGAGATTATAGAGATTTCGATTTTAACGCGACCCTTTTGTATCTTGGACTCGGGTTTTGTGGCTTTGTAGTGTTGTTCATGTCTTTTCCCCTCATACTTCCTTGAGTTTGGCTATTGAATTGTAATGGTTGTGTTTGGAATAAGTTGGTTGCTTGGTTTTCAAACTTTTGTTGCCCGAGCGTCACTTCTTGCGCTTGAACGGGATTTGTGAACTCTCAATACTTTTTGTAGGCATGCAGAACTACTGGGAGGATGTATTCTACGCTCGAGCAATGTTTCTTGCACTCGAGTGGTCGTGTGCTTGGGCTGCCATTCCCGTGCTCGAGTGATAGACTTCTGTCTGTAAAACTACTGGGAGTGTGTTTTCTACGCTCGAGCGTCACTTCTTGAGCTCGAGTGGTGCCGCCCTTTTTCATTGTGTCTTGGCACTCGAGCATCATTTCTTTTGCTCGAGCGGAGCAACTTATTGTGTCTGACGCTCAAGCGTCACTTCTTGTGCTCGAGCGGACTGGGCATACATCAGTTCTTAGCATCCACTTTTTACATCATTTTTTCATCTTTTTCTCTCTCTAAAACATTTCAAAACCCTAGATCTTTAGATTCTCTCTCTAAATCTGACTCTCTCTCTCTCTCTCTACATTTTCACCTAGATTTGGTGGTTTTTTTACCCGTGTGTCTTTGTTAAAAAGGTAGAGCGTCTCGAGGGCTATGTTTTCATCCAAATAGAGTTGGGTTTTAGCTCCACCCGAATTTCTTCCTTGCTTACTCGTTTTCTAGCTTTGAGGTAGGGACTTTCTACACTCTTCTATGAGTTTAAACTTCGTTATTTGTCGATGTGTAAAGAATATTAGAATTTGGGATTATCTTGAACAAACTTAGGGTTTTGGTTTAAAATAAAAAGAGGTGTTTTCAAATGTATGTATTAAAAATGGTTATGAGAGGAGATGTGAGGTTATGTTGTGATAAATTTGTTGATTTTGATACTCAGGATGGATTTTGGAAGAAAATGAAATTTTGTCCTAAAATATCTCAAATAGTTGTTTTGTATAAATAAATGAAATTGGTATTAGGAATATGAAATTGGATGGATGTTTATATAAATGGTAGAGTTGGATATGTATTACCTCTCACCTATGGAAATTTGGATAATTTATCTGTCTTGGAGATTGTATATCTGTTTTGGGCTATCAGTGGAGGATAGCTATGATTGTTGTAGAAATTGCATGAGGATTCGGTAAATTGAAACTAATCTCTTATCCGTTATGTCTTTGATACATTGTAAATGTTTGATGTTTGGGAGAAGAAAGATGATGTACTCCATGTTTGGGAGAAGAAAAATGATGGATTCCATTGAATTAAGTTAGCTTGTGGGTCTAGGGTGAAAGTCCTGAAAACCGCGCAAATACATGGGTGCCGATTCTCGTAGACGAAATATCCGTAAAATGGCAAATGGAAGTGTCTGTATAATGGTTGTGTTGGTTAGAGACTCATTGAGTTGTATTATTAGTTTGGTTGTTTGAATAAAATAGTGAGTGACTCAAGAATTGAGTTAAAATGGATGGAAATATAAAGTTTGGCATGACATGATTTTGTAAAAGAGTTATGAATGATTTTATCATGGACATTAGATATGCATATCATACTTATATCTTTGTTAAGATTCATATATTGTATTAGATTGTTTCTAGTGAGTTTTGGCTCACCATATTTGGGAAAAATTATTTTCGAGTGTCGGTGATATGCCTCTGCCAAGACAGTAGCTTGGAAGGGTTTGGAGCAAGAGTTTCTCTTTTGTTATATTTATTTTGTATAGCCAAGGGATTTAATCGTGTTGAGCTAGACTCATTTTTGTTGTAACCAAGTAGTGACTTGGAAAGATGTAAGCCTTCAGGGCATATGAATATCTGTTTAACTTTCATTCTTTTTACTACTTGTAACACATGTTGTAGACTCAGGACGAGCTATTTATAAATGTATATCGCATGTGTCACATTTTGTATATTAACTCGGATTAATGGAAGCTTATTATTTCATTTATGCTACTTCGTATTAGTTGTCTGGGTTTGGATCATTATAATTATTTCGGGACGTTACACACTCAACTCACGGTAGTTGAATAATCACATTCCCAGTTGTAATTAAAAGGTATTTATTTAATGGTTTTAAATGAATATCAATCGAAATGTATCGTATTAGCCAATATGTATCTAGTTTTTGTTCTTTTGATATAGATACACCCCAATATACTAGTTAGAATAAAAATCACATACGTATTGTAGCTGATTCTTGATATATATTGGTTCATAGCTGATTCAAAATTGATTTGGTTGTTTTGACGATGATTTAAAAAAAAATTACAATAAGAACTCTTGATCCCCAATTCATATCGCTCAATACTTCTGATATTGTTAGGCTGTGACTGATACTAGTACATCTCTCGATACTACATTTTAAAATCACGATTTAGATAAATAAATGTGACAAAAGAGATAGAGAGAGATGGTGTGCTTCAACAAATCCCAAAATTACTTTCCTAAGTTGTGATGGCTCCAATTTTTTCAAATGGCCTCATTGCAAATGATAGTTTTGTACCTTCAACAACTATGAAAATAAATTAACAATATTAAATTCAATTTACATGGGAGAAACCGAATAACCCAATGCTGATAATAGAGCTAAATAATTCTTATAGATATGAAATTATAAACATTGTTTATAATGATTAGATACTAATATTAAGTTACTGAGCTACATATATTGTAAAACTCAAATAGGTTCTAAATATTTAAATTTTGACTTGACATAATAATATACTTGAAATTTTTGTTCTACCATAGAAGGTTCATGTTTCGAACACAAAACTTGGCGCTGTTCACCTCTACGCCCCTTCGCTTTCTAGGCTTGGCGCCCATTATGCTGTGAACAAGTACAAATCATTCAATAAAAATCCTTAATAAGAAAAAATAAATTAGAAGGTAATAATTTCATAATAAATGCTGAATCGAGGGGTACTTACCAAAAAGAAAAAGAAAAACAAAATAAAAAACAAAAAAGGCTAACCTGGTTGAAGAAGATTGGTTCAACATCAAAGGTGCACAATTCATGGATTGAGCTATAATTCATTTTTGACGGGCCTCTTATGTCTGGGAGACAATCAAAGAAATCATCAGGGATTGGGTTTTGAGTAGAGGAACTGCTGTGATAATCTGCTTCCATTGTCACATTATTGAAGTATGATAAAATTGGTTCTGGATTTTGATTAGAAGTCATCTCCAAGAGAGTAGCCAAGGTTTCATCCCCGGTATCACTTGATGCTGAATTTACATAATCACCTTTGCACATAACATTATTGCCACAAGTTCCTAGTTGTCCCATGTTTTGCATTCCAAAATAGTTTGGTACCATGTCAGGTTGTGAATGGATTAATTGCACTGTATGCTCTCCTTCTCCATTGCCCAAGGAACTATTACTTAGTGATAAATAATTTTCAAGACCTGCATTGTTTCTTCGAGTTTGTTGGGGATGGGATCTTTGAGGGTTACGAGATGATTTCACTAGGCGTGGCATTGTCCCAAATTTTCTTGAACCAAATTTGTATTGTGAACTATTGTTGCCTGAATTTGCACCAGAAGCATTAGCTTTGCGCGATTCTGGGGCACGCCAATTATCATTACGACATTTCTGAGGGGAAGGAAAATAAGCAAGGAAGATACAAAATCAAGTTAGTGGGATATGAATGGAAAAACTCTATATATCACATTGGTACTTTAACAATGTTAAGGTTCACTATCTTTAAAAAGAAAAACAAAAAAAAAAAAAGTCAAGTTTTAACTTAAAAGGGACATTCACAAATGCATCAACTCCATCAAACTTTATCATGAAATTCCTCGTTTGACTTGTCATAATTTGAAGCGGTACATGTTTGGCGGGTGTAGTAAATAGCTATAAATTTTGGACCATGTCAAAAACTATTCGATTGCTATTTATACTAGTTGTCTAAAGGATTCAAAGTAGTAGTGGAAGTGATAACCATAAAACTAGTACAAAAAAGATAAGTAGTAAAAGATGTAAAATTATGCCAATCATATACACTGGTCATTGTCATAAATTGTTAGCCACGTAAGGTAATTGTTGCAACCATGTAGTATAAAGTACAGGATCATATATTGCAGGAAGCTTGAGTTTATTGCATGAAGCTTTGCTCCCCCCCCCCGATTTGTTGATGTTTTGTTGTTTGTATATTGCTTTATCATCAATATATTTTCATTTTGCTGATTAAAAAAAAAAAGGTGTACGGAAACCGTTATGAGAAACATCCAACGGAAAAAAGAGAGGTGTTATTTTGTTTTCTTTATTAATTTTTTTTTTTGATTTGTAGACATTTATGGGAAGGATGTTAAACATGTACTACTATGCATACAAGTGACAAACCTGAAGATGACTTGCAACTTGCATTCGTGTCAAACCAGTCACGTTCATTAGATCAAGTATCTCCTTCGGGTAGCATTCTAGTTCCAATAGGCATATGAGAAACATGTAAAACACCAATATATACTATAAACCAAAACAAACAACAATCATAATGGATTAAAAAGAAAATATGTTTCCAAACTGCATCAAAAAAAAAATATATACTTCCGTCTCCAAGCTCATTTACGGCAGCCATGAATTTTCCATGAAGATCCTCAGACCATTCTGCGCAAGTCTTCTTTGTTTTTTGATTGGTAAAATAAAGAAATTTATTAACTCAAAATAAAGAAGTACATCAAGATAATAAGGATTAACCAAAAAAAAAAAAAAAATCATTGCTAAAGGGCAAACCTTCTTCTTAGTTGATTTTCTCTTGCCCTTGTCTAATTCACCTACCTCATCCACGTTTATTCCTTTTCCAGTTCTTGCTTTTCTCTTGGAGCCAACCATGGTCTTTTTTGAATTGCTATCAATTTCAATCTTCTCTCCAGGGTTATTTTCATTGGATTCAATAAGCTTTCCTTTTTGGTTTGTAGTGTCATGGAGAATGGCAATCTTTTCAAAATTTTGGACCTTAAATAACTTTTCTTTAATCACATATTGCCATAGGCTTTTCAGCATGTTACCGCCAATTGGTCTTTCAAAGAAGAAACATGCCCCATTTTCTAGTGCTATCTTTGCCACCATAGCATCTTCATTAGCCGACATTACTTTAGTTGAGGTCACGTCATAAATGAGTACACATTGGAAGAAAAATGAATTTGTTAATCACACATCATTAAGTACTAATATTGGGAATGAAAATAATAGTCGAAAATGAATTTAGAAGTGCAATCCTAAAAGACAAAAAAATATGGAAAACAAAAATAAAAACGACTTGATTGAGCACAACACTTACAAATTGTTGGTAATCCTTTGTTAATTGCCTCTTGGAGAAGCATAAATCCATCAATGTCAGGTAAATTGATATCTGTGAGCACAAGGTCAAATTGCTCTTTTCCGTTCAAAAGTATTGAGTGAGCGACCAAGCCAGATTGAACTGCTGTAACTGAATCCAAGCATGTGGGAACAAAAGTGAGGAAGAGAAATCAATAAAAGAAAGATGCTTATAATAAATGTTTTAAGAGAAGTCTTTTGCAAAGGACAAATAATATTTAGTTCTTGAAGCAACTGTAGAAGAAAAAGATCAATGGTGCTAACCATCGTGGAAAACTGATAAAAAATCAAATTGTAGCTGACTTTAGAAATTAAACCTACTTGTTTATAGAGGCAACTAATTGAAAATAAATCATAAAAAAAGCAAAAAGGGGACAAAAAACAAAAAAAGACTAAAGCATGATTTTTTTTTTTCTTTTTTTCTTCCAAGAAATGAAGTGAGAAAATTCTGATTCAAAGATTAAGTGAACACAAGAATTTATAATAGGCCCTGTGGTTTTGAATAAAAAAATTAACAAAAGTTAGTCTCAAATCAATGTATTTCAAGAAGAGTGCCCTAGGCTTAGTTTTTATTTATTTTTTCATTCTTTGCCATTGGTTGGGATGATGAATTTATTAGGAAAAACAAATTTCAAGAGTTTTCATAAAAATAAAAATTGCAATAGCTATGATCTCGGACTTGGTATTGACTTAATTGACCTAAATTAGATTACACAAAAATCAACAAACAAAATAGATTTTTCTAAAAACTCTTGAAATTTGTTTTTCCTAATAAATTCATCAAATAGTTTAAAGATTCAACTATTACAAGAACATCTTCAAAAGATTATCTCAAACAAAAAAAGATAGAAAAAATAGCCTTCACATTTTGAGCCAAACTCTACACTTTTGAGAATTTATGTATCATTGTCGGTCAAATAAAAAAGAAAGCCAGAGAAACAAAATGTTAATAACATTAGAATTCATAAATCAGAAAAGAATTTTGTAAGCACAAAATTATTGTAGTACCATTTAACACCATCAAAACATAGAATGAAATGGAAATGCTATATATATAGATAAATAGAGAGAGAGAGAGAGAGAATTGTTTGCATGCCCGCTCAACTTATCTAATCAGTAAAATTCACAGTTTTGTCTACCTTTGTAAGAATACAATTGAAGCATTCTCGCTATAGAAGCAAGTGAATCCTTATCATGGTCTACCAATAACACATGAATCACATGTGCAAAGGTGTGAGAAGAGCCCCTTGGACCTTCTATGGTCCATGAACTTGTACCACTACTTCCCTGTTCCCACATGAGGAGGAAATGGAGTTACAAAAAGTAGAAGAAGATGGTGAAGATGATGCGCAACACAAATGAAACAAACAACCAAAAGTGAAAAAAAGAAGAAGAAAGAAAATGAAATGGAGCTTGAATTGAGAGACTGGTGTGTGTCTGTATATATAGCAAAAAAGGGACTGTAATTATGGTAGGTGGTTGCATATATACATAGCCAAGTGGCATGAGGGGGTGTTCAATGTAGCATGAAATAATTTAGTTACCATATATACATACAAGTTGGTGAAGTCCTTTTTTATTTTTTTTATTTTATCAACATAAAAAACTATATGGATGAAAACCGATGTATAAATCAAGTTGGTGAAGTCTTTTTACTTCTCTTTGTAGTGCTTTTTTTTTTTAATCTAAATTATTTTAGTATCGCATATGTAGTCTTTAACTTGGTGTGGCCTTTTGTCCCTAAATACCTTCACTAGACTAATTTTTGGTTGACATTGTTATTGTTGGGTCCTCAAACACTCTTAAGTCAAACTAGTGTGGGATCCACTGTTGACCAAAGATGGTTTTATTAGGGCATACACACACAATGATGAAATTACTTTTGTTTCTTTAAGGGTTGTACTCTTGGACTGTCCTTTCAACCAAGGGTGATTAAGAATGGCAAATGCAAATGTCTTTTTATTTTCTTGCACAATTGTTTAAGGGTTGCTCCAATATTTCTAAGGCAGTCTGTTGTTTTCTAGAACATACAGGAAAAAAAAATCCTCAAAATCAAGAATATCATGAATTTTGAGGAAAATTTTTGTTATTTAACACTTTTGTTTAGAGTTGCTTTTCTTTAAAGCTAGAATTAAACATTGTTATGTTGTTCTAACAAAAATTTGTTGCTGTCATAATTATATAGCTAAATTGTCAACTCTTGTGATATTGCCATAGAGACTTCTTCACTAGTAGACAATTGCTTAATATGTAAATAATTGTTTTATGTACTTTGTGTAATTGTATATTATCATTAGACAAGCAATTGTTTTTCTCTCCCCAAAATTATAACCATGGATTAGATTTTGGGAAGCAGAATTAAATTTCATTTTTCTTTTGATAAAAGTTGTTGTATGACTAACGTTAAGTTTAATCTATTTACACATTTGTTGAACTAGAACTCTTCTTTTGGTATGTTACAATTTTTCTCTACTTGAAATTTCCTGAGTAGGCAAATTATTTTTTGTTCAAAAGTACGTTTTTTAGAATTTATTTTCTTTGACCCCAAAAAATGGTATGACGGAGAGATTTTTAATAATTGTAAAGAGAAAATTGATTTCAAATGTGAACAACCTTATGTTAGCGTTTGGAAAATGAAATGCATTCTTTTTCAACTTTAATTTACATTTATATATACATAGAAAGACTTCAAATAGTAATGAAATAAATGGTAAAAAATTAATTAACATTGCAATTAAAAATGAAATGAAACATGAAAACTAATAAAGGATCATCATTTGATAGGAATTCATTTGGTAATGGTCAGCCACACCCTCTTTAATACTCTTAAAATAGTAATAAAACATTATGGAGCCATAATTGTACCCTTCTAATCTTTGTATATAGGATTTGGAGGTGCCATCATGTTTGAATATCTAATTTTGGTAGTCAACAATTGATGTGTAAAAGATTAATTATGCCCAAACATCGCAACAAATCTATACTAAAACCAAATGTTCTTCGTTTACCACTATGGCATTAGAGATAGAAGTTCATGTTTATAAATCTTGACACTTGAGAACAATTAATGCTATAAGCACCTACATGTCTCAATTTCAGGATAAGGGTAACATAAATACATAAGTTGCAAACTCCTCAACCCCAATACAAGAAAAAAGAAAAAAAAAATATAAGAAGCTTAAGTTGTCGGCAAAATTACTATGGTTGAAACCATTGTTGACGAAGAAACAATATCGTCACGGAAAAAATCGTTGTTAATAGATCATGCCAATAATTACATGACTTTTGAGTGATAATATAATCATTTTAGCAATAGACTTTTCATTGAAAATAATTTTAAACTTTGGCGATGAAACTTTCCAACGCAAAAATATTTTGTTCCAAGTTTTAGTGACACTTTTTCTTTCAATCCCAAAAGTTTCATATGAAATTGTGCATTTGTTTTTGGCAACAACCTTTTACCCTTTGTGAATGTGACAATATCTAAGAGAGAGAGAGAGAGAGAGAGAGAGAGAGAAATTTGTATTACATTGAATGTTGTGTTAACAATGTATACAAGACTCCTTCATATACGGAGAGAGAAACCTAAGTATGGTAATGAATATAATATGGTATGTATGATAGACAGAATATATAGTTATTATATTTAACATCCTCCCTCAAACTCAAGTGGGGATATTAACTTGAGTTTGGAGGGAAAAACTAAAACATGAAATAAAAAAATGAAATAAAATAAAAGGCAAATAGATTACAAAATCCAAACTGGGGCGCAAGGGCACTTGAGATAGATAAGAGGTTGGAGCTAATGCCGGTAGATAGCTTAAGGTTGTGTCGGGTTTTTATAGGAACTAGCCAAAACTAATGCTGGGATAATTTAAAGTCATGTCAAACCGTTATAAAAACTAGTCGGAACTAATGTCGGGATACTTTAAGGTCGTGCCAGATCGTTCTAGAAACTGGACAGAACTAATGCCGGGACAGTTTAAGGTTGTGCTGGAACGTTCTATAAACTAGTCGGAACTAATGCCGAGACAGTTTAAGGTCGTGCTATACCGTTGTAGAAACTAGCCAGAATTACTGCTAGGACAATTTAAGGTCGTGTCGGACTGATGAAGAAGAACTGGATATTGAACAAACAAACGTAATACACACTTAACTTATGACATGGTACTAAACGGTGATAACAACAAATGACATTGTGCACCAGGGGCAACTTATGAGAAAGTGCGCCAGGGGGCGCCTTGGGTTGTGTGCCAAATGAGGCGGCTTGGATTGTATGCCAAAGGGGGTGGCTTGGATTGTGCACTAGAGGGGGTGGCTTGGGTGGTGCGCTAAGGGACGACTTGGGTGGTGCATCACAAGGGACGGCTTGAATTATACGGCACAAGGGGAACTTAGGTGGTTTGCATGGTGTATAACCATGTTGAATATGATATAGAAACTGATCGAAACTAATGCCTAGACAATTTAAGGTCATGCCGAATTGTTATAGAAACTGTCCGAAACTAATACTGGGACAATTTAAGGTCGTGCCCGACCGTTCTAGAAACTGGGAAGAACTAATGCTGGGACAGTTTAAGGTTGTGCCAGACTGTTATAGAAATTGGCCGGAACTAATGTCGGGACAATTTAAGGTCGTGTCGGACCATTGTAGAAAACTAGTTGGAACTAATGCCGGGATATTTTAAGGTCGTACTGGACCAATGGAGAAGAACTGGATGTTAAACGTGGCACACATGTAACTTATGACGCGGTACTGAATGGTGATGACAACAAATGACATTGTGTGCCAGGAGGCGACTTATGAGAAAGTGAGCCAGTGGGTGACTTGGGTTGTGCGCCAGAAGGGGCGACTTGGATTGTGCGCCAGATGGGGTGGCTTGGATGGTGCGGCAAGAGATGACTTGGGTGGTGCGCCACAGGGGACAACTTAGGTGGTTTGCATGGTGTATAACCATGCTCACAATGAATATAATATGTTGAATTATATTGAATGTTGTGTTGAATAATTATTTAACAATGTATACAACACTCCTTTATATGGAAAGAGAGAAGCCTAAGTATGATAATGAATATATTATAGTACGTATAATAGACAGAATATATAGTTACTATATTTAACAGTGAAAAGTATGGCATATTTTGGTGATAGCCCATTCTCGTTTTAGAATATCAAAATAATTGTTTCATATGCATGTTAGATCTATATATTTAGGAATTCCAAAATTAATTTCTTGATTTTTGGAGCAAGTAGATTTTTTATTGCAATTTTGGGTCTTGTTTATCTAATTTTTATATTTAAAATCTTAACAAATTTTATATGGAAAATTAGAAAGTGGTATGGTCATTGTGAGTCAAAGTTACTAGAAAATTCATGTTTCTCTGTTGATTAAACAAAGAATTTTGGACCGAAAATGAAATTTCACTATGACATTTTTATTAACTTTTTTTTTTCTTTTCAAAATTTCTTATTCAACATATCAATATACGTATTCAAAGATTTACATAAAACGTTATAGAATTTTATAGTTTTAAAATAAATTCAAATGAGAACTCATATCATAGTGAAATTTCACTATCTTTTTTTTCATAATTTTATTTTGAATATGGGTTTTGTTTGATAAATCTTAAAGAAAGAATTTTAAAATTATTAATTTTATTAAAAATGAGTATCGATCAAAACATTACAAGAATTTACACATTTGCCGACCACTTTTGCCGACCAAAAAAATTTTAGCCGCAAAAAAATGACATTTGCCTACCAAAATATTAATTAGTCGCGAATGATCATTATTTTTGACGACCAAAATGAGTTGGTCGCAGAAGATCACATTTTGGCGACCAAAAATGAGTTAGTCGCAGAAATTGGTATGCTTTTGGCGACCAACTTCAAATTTGGTCACGGAAGGTTACATTTTGGCGACCAAAAAAAATTAGTCGCCAAATTAGTATTTTTGGCGACTAATATTTTAGTCGCCGTTGATTGAGATTTGGCGACTAAAAAAGTTTGTCGGCGAAGGTACCTTTTCTGCGACTAATCTGGTCATTTGGTCGCGAAAAGTTTGGGAGGGAAATTTGAAACATGGTGGGGGGAAATGAAAATTTTTTGCGACAAAAAAAAAAATTGGTCGCCATTTATAAAACGACGTCGTTTTGTACCTATAAATTTGGTCTCCATTTCTAATCCCGTCTCTCCTCTCTGTCTCCAGCTCGCTCTCTGTGTCTCTCTATTTGTTGATCCGCCCTCTCCCTCTCTCTGTATTCTCTCTCTCAATCGGTGCCCACTCTCTCTAGCTCACCGAAGTCCCTCACCACCATTGCTCACATCCGTTGCACATCGCCATCGCCCTCTGTCTAATGGACTCCTCATTTCTGTGGGATCCTCACCCAAACTCACCTCATCCCTGATTAGCATCGTACGCCACTGCTAGCGCCACCGCCACCGCCACCGCCGCCGCCGCCGCATCCTCACAGGTTCTCTCTCACTCTCGGTCTCTCTGTCTCTCTCTCTCTGTGTTTCTCTCTCTCTCCCTCTCTAGCCTTTGCCCTCGGTCTCTCTCTCTATATATTGCTGAGAGTAAAGGGTTTAGTGGGTTGTGCCAGACACATGGTGGATTGATTCCATTTGGGTTCATTTCTTGATTGATTTTTGCTGTGGTTGTAGAATTTGGGGGCTATGGAAGAAGAGAGGATTGAGGTCATAAAGCAAACCTGTGTTGTGATAGATGTAATGTGGATTTACTGATTTGCCATCTAATTTCACCTATATAATCTGAGTTTTCTTGAGGATTTTGTAGTATTGCTGTTCTTTACTTTGGTTATGATTGCTTTCTTTTCGGTATTCAGATGAATTTAACGTGAATTGTGGATTCATGTCGATTAGGGTTTCTAGGGTTTCAAATTGAATGTTTAGGATTTTGTTTTACTCAAATTTGATTGATGAGAAAATGAGGAAACATATAAATACATAAACCAGGTTTATGTTTTGATAATATGGAAAACTCATACTTTAATTAAAAAGCCTAATTAGCTTAGTTAACTTCAGACTTTGAGATTGTGTTATTTTGTTGATGTTTCTTCATTTTGTTGGAAATACCTAGCTGAGCCTCTGTAAGTGGGAAGATGTCTGGTAGTGAATAATTAGCATAATTTTGGTTACTGGGCATAATTTTAGCATAATTAGCATAATTTTGGTTACCCATAATTAGCTTTTGTTTTTTGGTTGTCTTTCTATGTTTTAATGAGTTAGTTAGTCTTATATTTTTTTGCTCATGTTGATCTTTAGGAATTAAGAAAATGTTTAATAGGCTAAATTTTCCTATCCCCCATGTGAAAAATGGAAATGTCAAATAATCTTTATGTACTTTTAGAGCAAGTAAATATAAATACGAGTACTGGAATCAATGTTTGAGAAATTTTGTGGCAATGAATAAGGTTTAATTTTTCGGAAATTGATTATGATTAGGTACAATTGGTTCGGATACAATTGAGAGTACCAGAGTATGGTTGGACGACTTAGAAAGTCTTCCATCAAACTAATAAACAAAGTGCATTCAAATATTAAACAAAAATTGAAAGTAGAGTCGGTGGTGTGGAAATGAATGCTTCTACAGGATCAACAGGGAAGCATGGAAAGGATTTGCATGAAGAAGCATCCCCATTGCCAGTGAAGCATTTTGACTTCTCGTTTGAGGACAAAAATTCAGATGATCTATCTGCAGATGACACAAAGGTCTTGTGTATAGAAAAGGTGCACAAGCTGGATGTGCTTCTGTAGATAATAGAAGTCTTCAACCTGCTAATATAACAACGCATTCTCGCTTGAATGGCGCAATGCAACAACTGACATCTGGTTGTGATGTAGCTGAAAGGAAATAGTGTTTTTTGAGTCAAGATAATGATACTATCGCATCTAGTGCACCGGAAAAGGAAAAATGAAATTGCATGGTTTTCTGTGAAGATGTTGGAGATAGTACTCCATCAAGTTTTGCACCGCTAAAAGATTGTTTAGATCCTAGCTTCTGGCTTCCTTATGAAATATGTGCCATATATAAGAAGAAAGGAATTTCAAAATTGTATCCATGGCAGGTATTTTTCTAACTTCTGGATGAGCCTACTTTCACTAAACTTCTTACACTATAAAGGAATTACTGATAGAAATAGCGCAGATTAGTTGGTGGTCCTGTCTTATCATATTCACAAAGGTTCTGGATTTTCATCATTGGGTATATGGATTGATAAATTTATTTTTGAATTGTGTTCAAGGCAAGCTGGGTTAGGAAAATTTCCATCATGTAGAGTTATATATTTTGTCATCTGTATGATTTTTTACTAGGAATTTTTATATTCAAATATAATTTATAATGTTTTGTTAGTTTGTTGCCAGTTTTTTTGGGGGTGGGCTAAGTTTATGCTGAGGAATTGCTGTCTAGACTCTGCCCCTTAACCCACCCGCCTGCCTTGTTGCTGTCTGTAAAATGGAAGAAAGTGATTATGTTTGTGAAATATACTTTTGTTTTAATTTTTATGGATTGTTCCTGTCTTTATTAAATATATGCTTATATGTATTTTGTTTTTTCTGTGTGATATGTATTTGTGCTCTTCCCTCCCCCCCACCAATATTAATTTCATTCATGTTATGGTATAAACTTAGCTGTTGTTGCCAATTTTTTTATTTTATTCACTTGATTATATCCCATTTTGTTGAAGTTTGATTTGATGCTATGTTTGATCATGATATGATTTTTATATGACAATTTTCCAGGTTGACTTGCAAAATGATGTATCTGTTTTTATTTTTATTTTCCATTTTTATATATATTATTTTTCTAACATTATGTTTGAAGCTAATCTTCGTGTGGTTTTTAATTTTCTTGTACTTCCATATGTATCAATTTGTACAGAAAAGGTTTGTAATTCCCACCCCCACTCTTCTGAATCAGTTTTTGATCCTAATCTATCTGTTGTACTTGAATCTATGGCTGGCTTGGAGCAGGCAGAACATCTGGAGGTCCTATTAGAACCACTTGGCAAGCATGTTCGCAGTTATTATGGAAACCAAGGTGGTGGGACTCTTCCAAAAGATACCTCTGTAGCTGTCTGTACAATTGAGAAGGCAAACTCTTTAATTAACAGATTTCTAGAAGAGGGTCGTCTGTCAGAACTTAGGATTATTGTGATAGATGAACTGCACATGGTAGCTGCCTTTGATGTAGTCTTTTTTAATTTTTAGTGATGTTCATCAATTACTTCTTGTTTCTTTTTTCAAAATTGTTTTAATGCTTTATAATTGTAGTAGATTATAGAGATGGTTCTCATCCCTGGGGTTTGTTGACAGGTGGGTGATCAGAATAGGGGTTATCTGTTGGAGCTTATGTTGACAAAGCTTCGTTATGCAGCTGGTGAAGGCAATATATAATCATCTAGTGGAGAAAGTTCAGGTACAAGCAGTGGGAAGACTGATCCTGCTCGTGGTCTCCAAATTGTTGGTATGAGTGCAACCTTGCCAAATGTGGCTGCTGTTGCCGATGAATTAAGGAACATACTGATCTTGAATGGATGAATTAAGGAATTGTTGACTTTAATTATGTATTTTTATATTTTATATATTTTAATTTTTTTCTAGATTGTACTGGATGACCTTTCAAGGGCTAGAGAAGGATTTGTGCTTGCATCTGATTTGCATTTAGTATACTTAGTTACACCCACCAACGTTGAAGTTGAGCCAGATTGGAAATTATACTATGAAAGATTCATGCAATTGTCTACTCTTGACCAGGTAAGCTTGTTTCTCATCACCATTGGGCGTTTGTAGTCCCAGTTGACATGTTCATTCTTGAATACTAATTGCTAAGTTTGCAGAATGTGTGGCTTCAGCTTCTGTTTTTCGTTTTAGTTCGTTTAATTTATTACAAGCAGACCTTACCTGACAGTAAGATTGGAGCTAGTCATATGGTTATATGACATTGACAATTTCCAAGAAATGTTATGCATTTCTCCTTGTATCTCAGTGTATACATGTATGTACTTATGTATTGAGGCAAACCATAAGCAGTTGTCATTGAGGGTTAGTTGAGTTAATTTGTGTATGCATAAATGTATAGCTATGTCAATCAAAATTGTCTGCTGGTATTTTATTGTTTAAAATGATAAAGAGGGAATTGTGGTGGACAGATAATATCATTTGCAGGATGTTATGTCTGTCCCAATTTGGTGTTTTAATTCCTTTTTGGTTGAGTCCTGAGAAATGGGGTGCCAACACACGGAGTGCACATTTCAGAAATAGGGGGGCCTTGTGGTGTGGCAACTGACATAAATGCTTTATGAACTCTCTTTCACTATTTTTTCCCTATGACTTAATGCACACAGATACCTAAACAACTAGTTTTGAAAACACCCTGAACTGGACAAATTGATTGTTTGGATCAGCGTTTTTTCAAGTGGATGCAATGAACACTTAAAATTTGTGATTTTCAATGTCTACCTTCTTTTTTTTTCTTCTCTTTTTTGGTTGTATTAGATGGCCCTTCTATTCTGTATTTTAGGTGAGTAGCATTAACATTCTTGTTTAATAATAGTTTTTTTCACATGTTTTCTAACTTTTTGATGGTGCACACACCACATCTCTGACTTTATAATTTTATAAAGACTCTTATTTTCATTAAACCATTTACACCCTATCTCATTTATCCTTTCTGAACAGAGCCTTGTCCCAACTGTTTAGAATTGGCTATCTGACTGTACATTTCTAGGGCCACATGTTTTATTAAGTCCTAAGTCAAGATTAACTTGTATCAATTTCACCATCCTCACTATCACTACCCTCTGTTCTGGTAACAATTGAAGTTAATCACATTGATTTGTGCAACTACTAATTGTCGTTGTGCACCTTCTGCCAGATGAATTTACTTAATTTCATTGATGTTAAAAATTGCATGTATGCGATACTATTTCTCAAGTTACAATATGATCTTATCTTGTGAATTGATAAGTTTCAACTAACATATTCTATTAATTGATATGTTTCAACTAACATATTCTACTGGAAAAAATTAGATCATATTTCTAGAAAATCATCTTCTAAAAATTAGATCACATTGGTTTGTTCTATTATATTATTATTATTATTATTATAAATTTTAAAAAAGAAAAGCTGTTTACTCCTTTTGTGAGCGTAATTTTGATGCTTTTGTGGTCAATTCTCCTGCAGTGTCCAAGTCTGGAATAGTGGAAAGTCTCTTGTCGTGGGCAAATTTTAAGCAGAGCAAGGATCTTAAGAAAACTGATGGGACAAAGAGACATAGGATAACTGGGATTACCAAACTAGAAGATTCTAATGATGCCGGAGGGAAGAGCTCTGATAAATGTACCTTTATTTTGACAGAAGGTGTTTCAACGAAGGCACTTGCGGTAAGTTGTCCAGCTATTTAAGTAGTTTCAGTTGAGTTTGGTTTTTTTTTAGAGTTTTTAACTGATTTGAATATATACAGATGGCACAAAAGGATATATGAATTTGGGATTAGACTGTTATAGGTTGTGAATCAAGCCACGAAAGGATAAAACTGTCTATTTATGTATTTTTTATTTTTATTTTTTTGGGGTGAGAAAGAATGTTGAGTAATTTGCATGGTTAGTTTTAATTGTAGTTTTTTATTAAATGGATTTATTAGATGGAATAGAAGAATCAGTAGAGCTAGAAGGTTTTATAGTTAAAGCTCAAATTTTCTTTTGATCCCCTTGTGGTAGGGTTTCTTATTTGTTGATGTTTTATTGTCTTTTAGAGTTTTTGTGTTATTTAATCCTGGGGTAATGCCTAATGAGTAATGGATGAGGCTGTGTAGTTCATCTCTCTGTCTAGTACTTGTTGAATTTTTATGTGAGTCAGATAGAAAAAGAGGAGACTTTCACCTACCTCCTCTATGGTTTGGCAATTAGGCAAAAAACCCCTAAGGTTTGAGAAACCTACAATTACCATGATGGAAAGCTAATGGACCAATGGCAAAATGGTAAAAATATATGAAATAAAAAGAGAACAGAAAAAATATATGGTCTACGGTTGACAATTTCTAGTTTATGGTGGCTTGTGATGTTACGTAGTTGATGGTTGACAATTTCCTAGTCTTTGGTGCATGTATGTTTGGTATCATATGGTATATTTATAAGGTGGTAAGTGTCGTCCTTTTTTTTTCATAAAAATTGTTTTGTAACATTGAATAAGCATGTATGTCAAATATAACATCACAAAAATAAGAGCAGAATTAGGAGAAATGGGAAATTTATATATGGTTGGTTTTGTCTCACATTTACAACAAAAAATATTCTCACCATTGGCCTTATAGGCCAAGTGGTACCTGGGTGTTCTCCCAACCTTGATGTTTCGGGGCTCAGATGCTCAAGTTTCTTTCCTGTCTTGATTAGCCTAGAAAATGGGCAGGATCCTGTATTATTGATTATTTAGTTTATTAAAATTAGAAAAAAAATTATGATAAAAGGGGCCAGAAAAATGACGTATTTGGAAATATTTTTGGAGTTTTTTGGGAGTCATATCACCTCATTCAAGAGCTGCTGATATTCCTGATAAATGTCAAGTTGCAGGCCATTAGCAGTCCAATTTGTTATTGGTATTTAAAATTATCATCTTCTTGCTTTGTGGTTTTTTATGCCTTTATTTTTTTGTTGGTTGTATGGTTGGGCTTGTCTCTTTAATTAACACTAACTAATCCTTGGTATGCTGCTTATGCATGAAACTTCTATTTTGTTGGAGAGAGAGATTTTGTAAATCTTTCTTTCATTTGAATTCAGCTGCACTACATCTTTGATTTATTCTACAATTCAGGGCAAGCAAAAACAAAATAATCGCAAGGTGAAGGATAAAGGAAGGGATGACAAGTCAGGTGTTGCAATCCAAGACATCCTCCAAGAAGAAAGCCTTGCTGATGAAAGAAAAGATTTCACGATCGAGGATGCAGAACTCGTGCTTGAAAATTCTGATGTGTCTGATCCAGTAGATTGTCTTCCTGAAATGCAGTCTTATTCAGAAGACAGAGATACAGACACATAAGAAGTTCATCCTCCCACAGAGGCCAGTAGTAGTGTAGTAAGTGGGCTTTCAGCTGGACAAAATGGAATTAGACAAACAAATAGTTCGTCTGTAGTGGATGATAGTTCATCGACATGTTCCACAGACTCGGTTCCATCATTGGTAATGAATGGGTCTTATAAAGGGTATTCACTTCCAAACCACAAAAAACAAAAATCACCAAGCAGGTAAACTTATCCTGCTACTTTCTTTTTTTTTATTTTTTTATTTTTGATGAAGCTACTACGTTCATTTTAAGCACCCAGGTATGAATATTTTTATATTTCATATGGTTTGCTACAATTTTGTAGAGGAAGAAATCAGCGAGGCAAGGCAACTTGCAATGCGACTGGTTTGGCCAATGAAGTCCGTATGCCTCCACCAGAACCTTCAGGAGATGCAGCACAACCAAATGATGCATCTGAAAGTTGCAAGGCTGAATCAGAGTCTGAGGCTGTTCTACACTCCTTGCAGGATCGGATAAAGAAGCTTGAGCAGCATGTGGTGAAGAAGGTGATATTCCTAACCTTTCTTCTTCTTCTTCTTCTTCTTCTTCTTCCTGCTTTGGCGACCAATTTATTAGTCGTGACAAATAAATAATTTTTTTTCGCAAAAAATGACAATTGCCGACCAAGAGTTTTGGTCGCAAAAATACATCTATTGCCGACCAAAACAGCTCTTGGTCGTGGAATCTCACTTTTGCCGGCAAACCAAAAGTTTTGGTCGCGAAAAGTAACAAATGGCGACCAAATTTTTTGGTCGCGAAATGTGATAATTGGCGAGCGAAAAATTTGATAGCGAAATGTGATAATTGGCGACCAAACTTTTTGGTCGCGAAATGTGACAATTGGCGACTAAGAAATTTGGTCGGGAAAATATCACTTTTCGCGACCAAAGTGTTTTAGCGACAAAATAAATTAGTCGCGGTAATTAAATATTTAGCGACCAAAAATTTAGTCGGCAAATCTAACTTTTGCCGACCAACCAAAATTTTGGTCGCGAATTACTTTTGCCGACCCTCAATTGGCGACCAAAGTAGCGACCAAAAAAATTGGTCGCGGATAACTTTTGCCGACCAAAAATTGACATTTAGCGACCATTTTTTTTGTTGCCAAAAGTGTTAATTCTTGTAGTGAAAGTTATGAAATTTAAAGTTCAGAAAGTGAAATTAACTACTAGCCTCTTTTGATATGTGGTGCCCATGCATCATTTTAACGAAAGAATTTATTTTCATGTGCTTCAAGTAAGAGAGAGATATTATGAGGGGTGTTCACCAAAACCTCAAAAAATTGTGAAAATGAATGATGACAGATAAGATAAATTGTCACTAAATGACTTTGTTCACATTTCTAGTGACTGGCTGTGACTTTCTAATGAGGGATCTTTTTATTGGTGACAACATGGACCCGTCACGCTTAGTAAGTTTGGTGATAACTTGTTTCTAATATTTTCCTAAATGTTAGATGAGAGACAAACATATGCCCTGTACAACATGAATTTGCATTAAGATTTTTAGGTTTTGCATCAGCAACCTAGATGTTAGATGAGAGACAACCATATGCTCTATACAAAAAGAATTTGCACTAAGATTTTTAGAATTTGCAACAGCAAAATGTTCTCTTGCAGTGAATAATAAAAGGGTCATTTTTTGATAAATTCTCTTTTTAAGTGTTTTATTCAATTTAACCCATTTTCTTTTTAAGTATTCTATTAGGTACT